AGTTTCATATCGGAATGTAGAGTCTTCTGGTTAAGCTCACCATGAATTAAAAGTTGTATTGTCCTATTTATGTCTTTTTTATTGGGATCCATAAGATCCGACAAGTCGGTGAACGAAGTCACGCGTTTGCATCCCTCTAAATTTAAGGATACTGCTTAACTAAATAGTGTCTTACTGACCAATACAAGAGGCACTTCTGCTGTCATGCAGGAAGCGGTACTCACTTTTCGAAAGCGTCCTTCTGGATGGAGTACATTTTCTCAGAAAGAGTAGAATGGCCAGCAGGATGAGACAGAGCACACAAGCCATGCAAACCAGCACAGCTATAATGGTAACGTTACGATACTCTCCCTTTCCGTTGCTGATTGGTGGAAGACGTTTGCGGGCTCCGGGTGAAGGGTCATGCGTTCTTGGTTTGGTTTCCGATATCTGATTTGCAGCGCCATCAGTGTCATAAGGACTAAGTAGCCCGACCTTGTATGGCGGCCCCGACGACAATTCATTTGTACGCTCCTCTCCAACTGATTTTTCCACGCCCATAATCTCTGTCTTGGGGCTTTGTACCAGTATCCTTAAAGGAAAACGTTTTGTGAGTCGGTGAACCGGATCCGTCGGATTGTCGTGAGCCAGTATGTTTAGGGAATAGCGTCCTAGTGGTGGCTGTTTGTCTGACTTCACGCAAATACGATTAGCTTTTTCGTTTAGAGTAAAGTGGGAGTTTTCATCGAGGCTGACTGTGACGTTGCCATTGGTAGCAGAGTCATCATCATCGAAGAAGGCGAAGGGAAAGTCGACACAGGCTCCCATAGAATGCAGTTCGTCGGGAGTGACTGCAAATTCTGCAAGGAGTATCTTCTTCTCAGATCTCCATTGTTTAGGATCTGGATTAGATTTCGTGGAAACCATGTACGGTGCATTGTCATTCTTATCAAGCACCATCACAGTAACTATTGCTGTGGAAGAAAACGGCTGTGACATCTGCTTTATGCTACGACCAAACATGTTCTGTCCTCCACCACTTGTAGCGATGATCTTGATTTGCAGTTTGGAGACTTGTTCGCGATCCAGGGGCCGCGTTGTTCGAATAACTCCAGAATGCCTTCGAAAAAAAAGCTGAGGTATTACGGTTCATCGAAGGATTCATAGAGAGACTGATAAAACAACTGATGTTAAGTAAATTGAACACAACACGATGGACGGTAAAATAAAAGGCGCCATCTCTTTTTGTCGGAAAGTTTGCGTGATTGCGGCGCTAGAGCTTCGCCTTAAGTCTGTTTTCTGCTCCCTTTGATATTTTTTTACTAATAAGACTCCAACACTTCCATAAAACTGGACTGATAGACAGAAATCGCGACCGGTATTGTGGACTAAGACGAGGGAGACCAAAAGGTCTATTTCTAGCTTATCTGCTGTCATTATCCTATGCGTGATTTTGACAATGTTAACCCCCTATCAGTTATATAAGTTTATATATAAGTTTATAAGTTTATATAAGTTTAAGTTTATATAAGTTTATATAAGTTTATATATATAAGTTTATATAAGTTTATAAGTTTATATTAGTTTAAGTTTATAAGTTTATATAAGTTTACTCCAGGGCCTAAGTTCTGCCACCTACAACTGGGGGTATCTCAATCCCTACTATGGACCTGGAAGTATCCCAGGATAAAAGTGATTATTTGCGCCTGGACAAAGAATTCTAGGCTGCAAGTCCTCACAGAAAAAGGAAACGATATCCAATTGGGGCAAAATGGCGACTGTTTCTGAAGATGAGTTCGAGTGGAAATCCGAAATGTCGGGCCGATAAATGTAGGCCTCCAATGCTCGCATACCCTTCTGAAAGAAATGAGCAGTCAGTAGTCGATATCTTTCCTCAGATATATTGGTAATCATTAGTCGATCATAATTAGGTCAAGGTCGGATGTCTATAAAGATCTAGCCCCGGAATTGAAAAGGAGAGCAGAAATGAACACTCATGTGCTGCAATCAGCGTGAAGAGATATATACTAATCACAAAACGTAAAATGTAATGCTGCTCCATTGAAATTTAGTTAACACTTTTCACAGTGAAAAATGAGCACCTTTGAAGACAAAGGAGATAAAGAGAAATTTCTTTTCTTGGATCCCCTTAACGGAATAAACATTACCATTAACTTAATTTTGTAAAGTGACGGCGGCCACAGTACCCACCTCTCCTTAGGCATGAAGTGTAGCTTTGATTTTCACAGAGAATCCTGCTACGAAAAGACGCGACCGACAATTTTTTTGTAACATAAATTGGCGAATGGAGTGTACTCCTGCAGTGCATCAATCTCTGTCACGAGTGTCAAGCCACAATTCCAATATATTACCACAGAATACAAGATTTATAAGCACAGTCCTACGTTAAGAAACCTTTTCTGGTCAAATGAAAATAATATTCGACAAAACTCCTGGTCATTTGTTATCATATCAACAACTGAAAGGAACAAATTGGCGGTTAGGAAATAGTCTTCGTTTTCTCGTTGACCGGAACAACTTCAGATCTGCGGGCTTCTGCATGCTGGCGATTCCCACAAGCAGCCACAGCAACTGTCTTATCGCTCGCAGTTTTTGATCAATGCCAACGGAGGTTCATGTTCATGACCCATGCCCTTCTTTTTTGACAGTCGTCGATGGTATCTGAGGATTCGAAACTCCTAGAACTGTATATAATAGGTAGATGTAACTCGTGAAAGTGGCCGAACCCATTTACCCTTCCATCATAATTTGGAATAATTATTAATCAAGATCAAAAGGCGCACAAGTCGCATCAGTTGCGAACACAGCTAGTTTGCCGCGGTATCTAATGGACACGACATCCTCGTCAAAAGCCGTCTCAGAACGACAGTGTCCGTGCTACACTCAGAAGAAAACTAAAATTAACTATATACAAACAGGAGGTAGATAATCATTTGGATGTATTCAGTATAAATACATTTTATTGAAGCTTTAACAATTTCGCGTCCTACAACAACAGGCACTGGAAGTTTTCTGGTTGCTTGAAGGTAAACAGTAGAAGTCAGACATCTTGTCTCCCTTTTAGAATTCTAGCACTACTTGAAGAAACCTTTAAGAATACGCTGGATCCGATTTTAAACTTTCTTACCATTCGTACAGGAAGATTTTAGCCATCCTACGAAGTTAAAACGGGGATGGTTAATGATAATGAACTGTCCAGCAGCACCTCCATAGGTAAGCTTCACTAAGACAATGTAAAATAAGGAAGTTTGATGGAATACTGTAAGTGGCTTTTAATTTATTCTGCTCAACTTGTGATCTTCGCCCTTTTCAAACTTCTACCGGGAAAACAATGTTTTAATTCCCAAGAGTTCTCTGTGCGCTGGCATAAACAATTTTGTTCTTCAGCAGCAATTTTGTTAAGCACCATTTACGGCATAAACTGCTGCATGTTGCAGTCCTGAACTTAATTATCCCTTACCCTTTCAAGGACTTTTATACGCAAAGAGCAGAAATACTGACAACAAATA